CATGTACATCTGCCTGTGTTCCCATTTCTCCCTTGCCTTCCTTCTGCCTCTCTTAGGGCAAGCGATGCAAAGACTCATGTCCAGGCAGTCCCTGCCAGATGCCAGCTAGAACATCCCAGTTGTGCCAGGTTCCTCAGGGGTCCCCAATGGTCTTGACCAGTGATGGTGGCCCGCCATGTCCAGGGCTGACAGTGTTGTAGTAGAGCTCTCCTCCAATCCCAAAGCTCCATTTATACCTGTTGAAGATACAGATTCCTGGGCTTTGCCCTTCAAGTTTAGAAATGTACCTGAAAGGAGGTGAACTCAAGGAGGGAGGAGGAAGACACCGTGAAAGCTATGTTTGACTTCCTAGTAGGAAGATATGAGCTGAAACCTTTCTAATCCGTTCCCTTACCCTGGCTGAGTGGCTCCCTCTCATGCACTCCTTTTTTAAAAAATCGATTCATTATTAATTGTTTGGCCTTTGAAACAGCCTAGATGGGCTCTACATTCTCTTTTCTTTCATGGTGTCCTTATGGTAGTGGAGGAGAGTGGAAGTTGGCCAGTTCACACAATGACTGAGCCCACTACAAGGACTTTATAAGCATAGACTTCCAGCCAACCATGCTCGGTTTTCCTTCTTTGGCTACCACAATCTTTGCTTGAATTCCTGTTCAGCGCAGAGCATGCACTGGATGCTGGCAATAAAGGAATGTGCACAAGCCCCAGGGTCTGACCCTCAGGAACACAAAACCAAGTAGAGGGCACCACCAAGTTTCACACACTGGATACCGTTCTGCAAATCTTCCTCAAACCTGTTTCCCATATAGGGATGATTAAACGATACAGTGTGTTTGATGTGACAATCTTCTACCTTAATAGAGTCCAGAGTGAGATAAGATTAAAAGAAGTGCCTCGGAGGGGAACAGGAGAGCCTTTCATCTCTGGGAAGTAATAAAGACAGACCCCACCTAGGAGAAAGGTCTGGCTCTAAGTGGCAATCCGATGACATAAGGCTGTAATGAGCTTGATACAACTGGATTTCCATATGCAGCTCTCCACACCTAGCCTTCTCCCAAAGTGACAGCAGCCAATGCCATGAACGGTGAGGAGCTCACTTGACTATAGACTTCAGGCCATGAGAGGGCTGCAGCAGGGTTCCTGGGCAGACTCATCCTAGATGTGGAATGAATGAATGTATTTTGCTCTGAGACAGGCAGGGTGACAGGGTGATAGGGCTGACTTGCTTTTCATCCTCTTCATCTAGAGGAGTTGCCATCCTTGGACTTGCAGGAAGACTTTCCAACTCAAGTTCTAGCCTCTTTCCCACATTTGAAGACCAGGGAAAAAGTTTAATTGTCTCTGCAAGTGGGTGGGGGAGTTCCCAGGACGCAGGGAACATCACGTATCCTTTACCATTCTCTTGACAGCCCATGGCCTCCTCCTAGCAGATGAACCAATCCCAGCAGAGTACCCGGGAGAGCATAACAAGAAATGAAAATGGCCACAATTTCCCAAAACCTTTCTGTTAGGGTCCAGAATCAAGTCACATGTCCCTGCACCCAGAGGCAGGAAGAGGGTCCTCTACTCCATACTGTGACTATGAGTCTCATGGGCTCTTCTGCTTGGAGCAATAGCTTGGAGCTGGTTCTGGATCCACAGAGCCCAGGCTATGTACTCTAAGCCCAAAGGGCTTCTCTCCAGGCCCAGACTGAACTTCATGGTCCTCTCTCTTTGCTATGCTGTTTTTCATGGCTAGTGGTCATTGGGGGGGGGGGCAGCCAGCATACATCATTTGGCGAGCCTCTCCCATTCCTCAGCAAGCAAGTAAGATGAGCTCGGCCCAAGATGCTATGCGGCCCCCCCTCTGGAGGGGGTTGTCTGCTGAGGGCTTTCCCAGGGAGAGTTCCAGTTCTGTGCTAAGTAAAGCCGAAGTGGCATATTGTAATGTGTTCCTTTCTGCCATATACACACCAGGCCACTTCTACGTACACTATGCTCTTCCTTCCCCTATGCACAGCACAGATGTATATTGACACATCCATCAAGTCCCAAAGTCAGTTGCACATCTATAAATACATTTCTTGACTTTGAAAAGCTCGAGAGCCTCCTGGTAACAAACAAAGCGAACTTCCTGCCCTCAGGGAGTTTATGTTTTAGCACAGGAGAGAAACAGCAGCAAGACAAGTGTGTGTGCCACCTTAGTGGGAAGTGCTAGGAGGAGATCAGACAGGGGAGCTGAGGTGTGGGCCGTTCCATTGCTACCTTTGCCTTGCCTCATAACTAACTATTACCTCGGAACCTACAGCAAGTAGAGAACCAGCCACACTGGAACCCAGGAGAGATTCAGGACAGCTAGCACACACTGTCCTCTAGGAAACCTACAGTCTCATTAGAGACAGGAAGTGCAATACTGACTGGGAAATGTCAGAAAGGCTTCGGGAGAAAGGACTTGAGAATATGGTATTTCTTCCACCAAGAGTCCACCCAGGCTGAAGATTTGTGAAGATTCCTAGAGTCCCTGACCATGGCTAAACTGCAAAAGTGGGCACACGGGTCTCAGATTCCTTCCAGGGTCTATAGATAGAGATGCGTAAGGCTAAGACTGGCTAAGACTGGGGAGCGTATTTTCCCTTCGCACACAATGCTAGGGAAACCAGCCTTCGGGGCAGCTGTTGTCACCGACTCTGCCAGGCTTGCTCTCCTTGTGTCTTATTGTCTCTCTTATTGTCTGCCCGTCACAGAAAGCCCGCCTTGCCAGGATCCGTGTGGCCAAAACAGGAAGCTCCAATGCCTACCTGCACAGCAAGCGCAATGGACTCCTCAACGAAGCCCTGGAGCTGACGGTAGGTGTCCGCGAGAGCTGACAGAGGAGATGAAACAGAAATAGGCTTGTTTGCTCACCCCCAGGTCCCAGCACTCCCCCAGGCCGCCCCAGGTTAGATTCTGACAGGGGCATATTTCCAAGTGTCCCCACCAACATACTGCTCCCATGTAACTAACACCGCTGCCCATAAACCAGCTATTGACGAGGACCCCAAGACCAAGACCAGCAGGTTTTATGGCGGCCCTAAGATTTGGCTTACCAAGATGTCCCTCGTGCCCTCCTACCTTCTGTGAAGAAATGAAGAGGCTGAAGAGAGGAGAAGACAACAGCGTCGTGCTCAGTCCTTCTTTCTTTCTCACTAGGGCACCCCGGAAGAGGAGCACATGGGCAAGACCACGTCACTCATCGAGAGCCAGCACCACCACTTGCTACACTGCCTAGAAAAGACCACTGTGAGTCCCAGCCTGCTGCCCCTTCCTGCTTCATCCCTGACCTCCCAAGGCCCTACTCACGTTGTCATCCTAGACCAGATAGTCAGTCTGTCCCCTTCCAATCCAAAAGAGTAGCAGCAAGGTCTGAAGGATGAAGACCCCAGGGGGTGGGGCAAGGTCACCAGAGTGAAAGAAATCAGCTGAGTCCTGCAGCTGTAGAGAAGAGGCCACTCCCATAGCCTTCCCATCCCCCCCCCACCAACACCATCGTGTGTCTTAATTACTGAGGACTAAGCGTTTCGTTTTTTCATTTCTCAGTTCTGATGGGCATCAGCCAACAAGACTCAGGCTGAATTTACACAGGACAATAGAGAAGAGGGAAGATTTTTGTTCCACCCCTGTAGCTGGGTTGAGGCAACCCATGGGTCCCTCTGTGCCTACATTAATGAAGGAGGCAGTGTATATATACATATATATTCTTTAGCCAAGGATTTACCAGTCCCAACCCCACTTAAGTAACTTGCACTTTTGCAGGGAGTTCAGATTGTGAAAGGCTGATTGCTAAAGGAGATCATGGCGTAGGGTGCCACAGCTGGAATGGGAATGATGCTTGTGCCTTCCTGACAGCCTGAAAGGAAGGGCAGTAGGGCCAACCCTGAACCCTTGGCAAAAATGCTGGGACCAGTAGGGTGGGAGAAGTCAGAATAGAAACGCTAAAGTGAACCTCTTCCCTATTCCTTTCCAGAAGTTTTCCACCCAAAGAGCCTAGAGTCAGGGCTCAGCACACCCTTGAAAGGAACTTCCTAATTCCTAGTAGCCTGTAACCTGGCCTCCCAGATGCTAGGTGCCTCTTACTCTGAGCAAAATAAATGGATACCATGGATGACTGTGGAACCCCAGTGAGATCTTCTAAATGAGAAAGTGCTCTGCGAGCCCGGGTACCAGCATCTATGGTCAAAGACCATGTATGCATATCTGGAAGTTCTCCCAAGGACACCCAACTTGCCAACGGGATAGGCCCAGACCCCACTGCCCTTTCCAAGTTGCATGCACTGGGTGGAATGTGTAAATTAGAAGGACGTGGGTGAAAGCATTGGGGTTTGAAGGGCTGGAATGTTGGCATTGGGGGACTGAGAGATGGAATGCTGGCATTGAAGGGGTGGAATGCTGGGTCTGAGGGAATGTTGAATTGATTGTAGAGATGGGATATCGGAATGCTGGGTTTGGGGTAAGGAATGTGGGGCCCAGGGGGGGAATGTTGGGATAGGAAAAGAAGAATGTTGGTATGGAAAGAGTGAATGTTGGGTTAAGCAGGCTCCTTTTGGAGCCAATGGGTGAAATGTTGGGACAAGGGAAGCAGAATGCTGGGAATGGGGGCTGGAATGTTGAATTTGGAGGGTGTATTGCTGGGATTGAGAAACTGAATGTCCAAACCGGAATGCTGGAATGTACAATCAATGGTGTTTCTATCTTCTGTTGGCATGTTGTCCTGTAGGGGTTATCCTATCTTGTGGATGATCCCCTGTTATCTGTACGAACCTCCACCATCAAGGTATAGCTTTACAAATTCAATTGTTCTTCTCTCTGAATCTTGAGTCTGTGGATCTACTCTGCTTACCCCAGTCTGGTTTCTGCATGTGCTGCTGGTTCTCCCCGGGCTTTTGCTATCTCTGCTGCCACACCCAGTACCAGCTCAGGCTTCCAGTATTTTTGCACCCAACTACCCAATTTCCTTTCCTGTTCTTTTCTTTGACACCCCCAGGGGCTTAGAGGGGGCAGTGGAACGTTTCCTCTGGAATGCCCATATGCCACATATCTCTACGCTACCTCCTCAGTTTCCTGGGAACTCCTGGTACTGGCTGCCAGGGGACACTTTCTCTGAACACTGTCCTTACACTTCTCTTTCTCCTCACACTGTCAATGCCACAGAGTTTTAGTCACTTTGGTCAAGTATCCATTTTTCCATTGTTCTGGGTTTAGCTATGTATGAGCCACCCTCATGGCCTACAGACAGGAAACTGTTAACATTCTTTCCTATGTTTACATTTGGCCTAGGGAATCCTGAACTGCCAGGTTGTTAAGGATCTATATGCCATACATAATCAGGCAAAAGGGAAACAAAATTGGAAGAAATCTTATCCTTAGCAGTTTGACCCCTTTGCACTCAAGAGCAATGCTCTCCCAATTCTGTGAATGGTCCCAAACCTTTACAGACTTAAGTCACACCTGTAAGAGTCAGCAGATGTGCAAAGATGACCAGAAGACTCATATTCAGTGGCTTACTAACAAAAAGTTGATTCTCTCTCTGACGATGCCACTAAGCCCCTCCATGTCCTCTGTGTCCCTTCTGCTCAAAGCTGAAGGTGGAGTATATGACACATAATGATTTAACAACCATGTCCCTGCCCAGGCTCAAGGCCAGGGAGGCCAATGGATTCTTTTGACATTGACACCTGTGGAAACGAAACCCCTCACAAACACTTATCTGTAATCCAGGCATCTGGAGGGGGGAGGTCCTTCATTAAAGGCCCAAAACAGACAGGCAGCCATACAGAGACTGGGGCTCCCCCGCCTCCCTTCTTCTTTTTCACGGTTTCTCCTTCCTCCCACAGAACCACGAGTTTATTGATGAGCAGATGTTTGAGCAGAACTGCATGGAAAGCTCAATGCAGAACTACCCGTCCACCAGAAGTCCTTCTCTGTCCAGCCACTCGGGCCTCACCACCACCTGCTGCTCCCGTCGCAGTAAGAAGACCACACACCTGCCCAACTCCAACCTGCCAGCCACTCGCCTGCGCAGCATGCAAGAACTCAGCACGATCCACATCCAGGGCAGTGAGCAGCCCTCCCTCACCACCAGGTGGGTGGTTTCCATTCCCTTCCCAGAATTAATCTCCACATTAGAACCTCAGGGGTCCTGTAGTGGTTCCCCTGATCTACTGCATGGGGCCCCTCTGCTTTCCTCCCAACCTTCCTTCTCATGCTTTAAAGTAATCCAGAGGTCTTCATGGGATATTGGGTGATACTATAGCCGTTTAGGTCGAAAGTGGCTTTAGGTAGTAAGAGGGAAAAAACTAAAAAAGAATCCAAAAATTAAAAAGATAAACTATCATCATTTTCCTAAGAAAATACTTTTCCCAACTGTGTTACATATATAGGGCTTATCCCAAGATGATTGTGAATCACAGACTGACTTTTCCTTCCTGTTACTTCCAAATAAGTTGCAGAGATTTCAGGGAAAGCAAATGTCATAACAACACAAGTGATAAGCCCACAAGGGCTGGGAAGAAGTACTATCTGATGACATAGGAACTGTTACTAGTGACTAGAATGGTAATTATAAGCTGATTGTTAAAGGGACAGATCAAAGGCTGAATAGAGTCCCTTGATATAGCATAGAGCAAAAACCGTGCAGGGGGTCAAGGAAGATTTGAGGGGCACGCAAGCAGGAACCATCACCAACTCACTCTTTTCTCTCCCAGTCGCTCCAGCCTTAATTTGAAAGCAGACGACGGACTGAGACCAAACTGCAAAACATCCCAGATTACCACAGCCATCATCAGCATCCCCACTCCCCCAGCTCTAACCCCAGAGGGAGAAAGTCGGCCACCTCCTGCCAGCCCAGGACCCAACACGAACATTCCTTCCATAGCCAGCAACGTTGTCAAGGTCTCTGCCTTGTAAAACCACTGGACAGAGGGCCCGAGGGGGTAGTGGGGAGTCAAGGGGGCTGGCATGTTGGTGGGTGGCCCCTGGGACCACTCCCTCCCCCTTCCCCACTATTTCTGCCTGCCCCGTTGCACCCCAGCACTTGTGCCTGGAGGGGAAAGGAAGCAGCAAAGGGTTCCTGAGGATCCCACTGCCGGTGTGGACACAGCCCTGTGACACTGCATCTTGCTGGGGCCGGAGGAAGGGAGGGGGTGGGTAGGGGATGGGCCATTAGGAGGTGTAGGCCGCTTGCCTGGACAGGGCCTGGTGGGGGGACCTCAGACCAAATAACAGTTGTTTCTGGAGACCCCAGTGAGGAAAACACAAGACCAAGAGCAGCTCAGAGGCCGAGTCGTCACACGCAAACAGGAAGAAAATATAACACTGTGTATTAAGCACCTTTTTCAAGGATCTTAATGGATAATATTTATTCATGGGAAAAGGTGGAAAACAAAATAATCAATGGATTTTTGTGAAATGTTTTTCTCCATGGACCCAACACCTTTAAACCAAAACAATGCATTTTGTGAGGTTGGTTTTTATTTTTCTCCTTTTATAGCAAAAGCTTTTAGGCTCAGAGTCAGTTATTGCTGAGTTCCCTCCCCACTCCCAGGGGGAGTGAGGTCCCCTTTGCTGGGTCCTCACTGCCCAGCTGACCTGCGCAGCTGTCAGGCAACCACACAGCACCCCTTCTGCTCCGTTCGTCTGTCTCCTGTCTCTGTACCTATCTGCTTCACCTTGGCTGTCTCGGTATCCAACCGTCTGTCTCACCATGGACAGTAAAGCCTTCTCTGTCACTGCCAAGTACTGCAGACCTGTGCCTGGGAGTCAGGCCGAGCAAATGCAAATACAGAAAAGAAAGGAAGTCAAGTGGGGTGAGTTGAAGGGTGAGGTAAGTCTACCTTATGAACAGAGGTGCTTCCCTTGTGACTGGAGCCACTTGTCTTTGTAGTTTGTTGTAGGGGGAGTTGGGGAATAGTCATGTGTATCACACTGAGTCTTGAAAACGGAAACAGCCACTTCAGAAAGCAGTTGTTTCTGCTCTACCCCAGGGAAGACAGAAGCACCAAGGCTCACAGCTTCCAGAGCTCCGGGGCACTTTGCTATGGACCTTCCTTTAGGATCCACCATGAAGCCCATGCAGTGAGTGCTCCGCCACGCGGCTCCATGAGCATCCTCAAGAACAATGGACTTACAGCCCAAGGCAGTTCCTATACAGAGGTTATGAAGGTTAAGCCTGTGTGCCTCGTGAGGGATGTTTCAAAGCAAGAAAGCAAGCATGAGGCTCTAGATGATTCTTTCCTGGTCTAAAAGATGCCTTGAGGTCTGAGTCATCTTCAGGCCTCATCTCTAAAGACAGCTGAAGTGTGGGAACACTGATGACCTCCACGCAAATGAGGGAGTGGAGATTACTTCTTGAAAACGTGGATAATATGTTTGTTCAAGTTATTTACATGGTAGTGGGCCTGGGAACAGTATTTCTGGAATCTTCCTAATCATTTTCACCACTTACAATGGAGCAGGTTAGCCTCGGGTTAGTTACAAGTGCCCTTTCCTGCCCTTCCCAACCCCAACTACTTTTCCTGCGGTTTCTGAAGCCTGGGTGGGATCTGAGGCATATGAGCTGCTTAGGAACTTCTCATCCATTCTACAGCTCACAGATAAGCTGTTCATTTGCAAGTCCCAAATCTCTGCCTACTACAACTATAGATGGGTTTTTCTGGTCAGGGGCCTGAAAGCACTCCTGGGGCTTCCATGGCCCCAGCTCCAGGGACTCTGTACACAGAGGAGTCCATGTGTTTTGAGGGGGTACCAAACCAGAAAGTAGACAGAAAGGCAGAAGAAAGGTGCCCTTCTTTCCATCTTTGTCTCCCTGCCCTTATCCTCAATGGCTACTGACAGTCCTTTCTTTAGATCTGGCCCCAGGATTTCCCCTTATCATGGGCATGGAGTTATTCTTGCAATCCAGTAATTCCGTACATACATTTTATCAGCCAAGGCAGAGAGCCAAGCTGGACCCAGTTTTAGCGGGTAGACAAAGAACTAGAAAAGGATCTTTCTTTTGAAAGAATGGACCAACCATGAGACAAAGGAATGTCCAAGTGCATGATACATCCTAAGAACTGAGTGGGATAAGGATACAGAATTTAAAAGGAACACTGTTGCAGTCACATACACGCCACCGTTCTATTTAAGAACAAGTCACTACAGGGCTAAGATGATGACTCAACCAAGCATCTCCATGTCATTTGGACAGTGCACAGCACAGCATACTATGGCTCTCATGAAAAGAAATATATTTTTAAAATTGTGTCCCCCAAATTCCACGTTTTATTGACTCTAGTGAACTGATGTTGTGTTGCTTCTATTTCATTTCCAAAGCCCATATCATGCCTGTCCTCGCCACCACCACCACCACCACCACCACCACCCCCCACCACCCCCCGCAAAAAAAGCATTAGACCCTCTTCATTTTCATCTTCCCATTGCAGTCTTGTTAGGGGATAAGGGACCCAGCTCACATGTGCGCAAAGATATCAACGCAGGAAAACAGCTCACAGCCATATATCTCCTAAGGGTATTTGTGATTAAGTACAGGGACAAAAGTGTGCTGGAACAATTTAGTAAGTCTGACTCATTGGCTAGTAAGTGAAGAGCCAGGATATCAGAATCTTCTGGAGACCAACAGCTTTCTGGTGCAATGACTCATGGTGCACAAACCATGTTAGAATAACTGAAAATTCCCCAAGCTACCACTCCATTCAACCCTACTTAGCACTGGGGGAGAGGGTATCAAAAAGACAAATATAAAAAGCCTAAGACTACATTCAAATAACAAATGGGAATGACTTGGAAATATAATATTGAATATACCAGACCTAGAGAAGATTAAACAATAGCTAATTCATTTTACAGTGTAGAAAACTGAGGCCCAGAGAACTTGACTCCTTCAAGGTAATGTAGTCATTTAAGAATAGAATAGGGACCAGAGCACAAGACCCTTGGCTACTAGTCTAATGTGTTTTGTTTTGTTTTGGGGGTTTTTGTTTGTTTTTTGTTTTGTTTTGTTTTGTTTTTTCAATACACCCTTTGCCTCGCATAGTTAATACGTTGGGGAAGGTCCATCAAAGATGCCATGACATAACTAGAGATATTCTTGTGTAAATGTCAACACAACTTGATGTAGCCCTGGAAATCACCTGACTATACTAACACAAATTATAGACATCAGAGCCACCATTTCTTGGGTAGAGCAAGCTACAGGTGATCATTTCTATCAGTGAAGAGGGAATATCCAAGATTTTCCAGGCAAATGCTCAATTTTCTCAATGAAAAAGAGACTTGGACAATGACATTTCAAAGCATATTTTTCTGTTGCTTCTCACCACAATCTGTGAAGGTAGTCAACTTAGTAAATCTTTGATTCAGAGAAAAGAAATGGGCACAAAGAAACTGAATGACTCATCTAAGGTTTCATGGCAAGTTAATGGCAGAATTGTGATTTGATCCAGAACTTAGACATCACGTCTTGGGAGAGTCTCCTATATCCTGCTCTATGGCTCTAAGGTTTGCTCATATTTTTAAAAGCTGGATTTCAAGGGAGATGATTATGGGAAACATTCCTGAAGTAGCAAGACCTCCTGAAACATACCATTATTTCTTCCTCATTCCCATTTTTTCCTAACTAGTCTCAAGCTCAGGACTAATTGTACAGAACCCCTTTCAAAAGACCAGTAGATACTCTCAACAACATATTAGAATATGACCACATAATTTGAACAGATGTTAAGGAGGACGGTAAATGATGATCCATGGTTGACAATGGTCACATACAGAACTGTTGAGGACATTATACAGTTGTTTTGTTTTCCCCGCAGTTCAGGATCAAGTCATTTTCTTATCAGAAAGCAGGTATGGAAAGTACCTGGGAGCATTATATGCTTAGATCATTTTCCTTGTCTTTTTAAAAATAGCAGTAGTGATTGAAATTGAGCTAGCATTAGATTTGAAATTATTAATGAATTCTAGTGACTCAGGCTCCCTCACTTCAATTACTAGGTAACTAAGTAAGGCAGAAGGAGCCCAATACCATTCATTTGAAGTAATAGTTTCCCTTTCATGCTAGTTGGCATGGTAACCACCGTAAAAGGAACACGAGAGACTTTTATTTTCCCTCTGATTTCCTAATGAATTCTCATTACTTGCAAAGCTTTAAAATGATGGGATAAAGGAAAAACATTGTCATGACCCATGACACTTGGAGCCCAAACAGCATCATGAAAAGCATTAGAACCAAGGAAACATGGCTTTGAAGAATGAAATGGCTTTTTAAAGGGGTTCCTTATGGGTCTTGTTTTTTATTCAGGATATTCTATGTTTTCTCATCAAATGTAGTAATGACATTTATCTTAGCAGGTTCTTTAAACTAAGCTGGCTGATGTCACATTAGCCAGTGCAGGGCACTGACCCAAGTCCTGGGGGACTACTTGGACCAATGGACTATTTTACAAACCAGGGAGGTGGGAGGGATGGTATATTTTTGATAATCAGACATTCCAATGTTTTCCTTAGAGGTCATGAGCTCCCATTAATGTTCTTGTGAAAAACATCAAGTGTGTTTTTTCTATTTTCGTATAATTACTGGGCTTTGCTTAACAACATCACAACAGCAAAGGAATACACTGTACAAAACTGCAGGAAGACAAATGTGAAAACTTTCTGCGGGGGAAGAAAAAGCTCTTAAGTTTCTTGTCTTCTTTTGAAACTGTAGTGCATATGTTATAACATGTATATCATTTACAGTATTGAGTCCTGTGCCACTGCTGTACCTGATGTATCCAATCTGGATTAAACAAACTATGTGCCACAAGCCTTGAAGTGGGGGAGTTTCTTTGAAAACCAGTTCTTTCCCTTCCAAAAGCATTGCCGTACAGCAGGAAGCTTTCTCAATGGCATACTCTTACGGATAAAGGCCTCATCTAAGCTGCCCCTGCGCCTTCCATATAAGCAAGGCCACTGCTTCCTGGAGCTTGCCTGCCGACACACTCTAGGCAGGTTCACGGCTTTAACAGGGGACCAGTGGATTGAATTTGTCTATAGCTCTCTCTTAAGGATCAATTACTAAACAAAAATCTGTCTATATATCAGTATCGGTTCTACTAAGGCTTCCTCTAATATTTGCTCCACTTAGACCAAGGTCTGAAACAAACCTCTCTCTCTGTCTCTGTCTCTGTCTCTGTCTCTGTCTCTGTCTCTGTCTCTCTCTCTCTCTCTCTCCCCTCTCTCTCGACATTAAATGCTAGTAAAAATCGTGACAAGCAAGAGAAGCACAAGCTCAGGTTCATCACATGTTGGTGACTTCACATCTGTCACCTTTTACTTCTTCCCTTCAGTTCCTTTCTTGACTTTAAAGGAGAGTAGGGCGGGATTAAGTACCTTTTAAGATCTGTCTAACCTTAATAATTCTGTTCATGTAAGAGAAGCATTTTCATGTTCTGCCATGCAACAGCACAAATTTAAATCCTTTTCATTCTCCAAAATCACCAGATCCCAACCAATGGAAACAGTAAAAGAAGAAACACAGTATGCTCAAAAGTCCAAGTCCATTATGAAATTCATTGTAAGCACTGACATTCACATCCTTACTACCCACTAGGTGTCACTAAAGACCCATAGCTCAAATAATCTGGACGAAAACTGGGAAGTACATGCACTCAGCAACTCTGCCTGCATTCAGCAATTCTTTTAAATTAACAAGCACTCAGTGTGTTTTGCAGGTTTGATGGTGAGTTTTGATTCCCAGATTTACAGGGTAGGAGGAGAGAATTGACTCCTGTTAAGTTATCCTCTGACCTCCACCCATGCACCATGACATGCAGGCACACATAAAATTAAAATATAATAAAACTTTTCTCATTATGTAGCTCTGACTATCCTGGAACTATGTAGACCAGGCTGGCCTTGAACTCAGAGATCTGCCTGCCTCTGCCTCCTGAGTGTGTGTACCACTATGCCCAACTTTGTTTTGTTTTGTTTT